TGCTAACAATTTTAAGAACATAATAGTGCTTAACAATAAACCATGTTTTGTTTTCATAAAGGATACCTAGAATTAAAATACACACATAACAATACGCTTACAATAATGTTTTAAATAATGACGTTGCGTTTCGATGAATTACAATTCCTCGTGCACCTACAGTATTATACCTGGCACCAACTTTTCTACTATATTTATAAGAAAACTGTTGTAAATACACCAGATAGATGATCAGGCTAAAGTATTCTACTAAACAACGTAACACGTTGCTAATAAAAACAAACTCGAGTAAGTAATTAAATTTAACAATTAGTTTTGCAATTAAATAACAAGACACGGGAATGCATCTTCGAACGTTGTTTAGATCGGAAAGAATACCTACAAGTTTTAAAGATCAACTTTTATTGATTTAATTTGTTCAGGAATGATTCTATGATGCAACGATTTAATTTTACATTGCGCAATAAAAACATTGTTATAATAAAGAATGAAATAGTAATGAATTTTAAATGATTGAAACTTTTTTTTAGAAATAGCGCTATTTATGAAACTACAGAGAGCTTTGAAAACGGAAGTAAATCCAATATAAAGCAACCTTTTGCAGCATTAGTTTCTATGGCAACATCGATACATATTGTGAATGATAAATTAAAAAAATCTTTTGGTGTTTATTTTTAGCATTTCCTTGAACAATTTGTTCTACAAAATACGTTTACATCTGTACTAAAAACATGAAAATTAAGTGTGACCAATGTTATGCTAATGACAATTTGTTTCGATTGTTTATATACGAATAACGGTTAAATGTTAATTACAATTACTCATTATTTGTTTCACAAACCTCTTGCACCTTGTTGTTGCGAGAAAGTAGAATTTTTAACGAAAGAAATGGAAATTACGAAAACACATCATTAAAATCTGCTGACTATTATTTTAACTGAATTTTTACGGTATTTTAATTTCCTTCTATAGTTTGCATAATCAAGTTTTTTAGTTTTACCATCTTCCATAGATTATTTACCTCTTCCTTTGGTCTATTCGATTTTTTCCACAGTTTTTGTGTGTTCAAATGTTTCTTATCATTCGTCGTAGATTTCCGTAGTCCTTGTAAGCCCTGTAAAGTTATTTAATAAATCGGTTAATGCCCATTTTTAGACTACATAGTTTCTACTTTTTTTTCTTTTACTTATTTGCATATTATTTTTTCACATATAAAAGAAAATATGTGGGACGAAACTATTCAGCAAACTATTACTTTTAGAGGAAGCAGCAGTTAAATTATTTATATCTAGTACTTTGTAAGTACACTTCAAGGATTTTATGGAGAATCCTTGTTTCAGAAAATACACGGACAGTTCCTATTATACCATTCTTTCTCATTCCTTTTTACGGAGTAATTTAGTTATAAAGTATAATTCATTTCTGACACAGTTTTCCCCTGTTGTAAGCGATTTATCAAAATTATTTTCTTGTTGTTTTTAGAATAACAAAGGGAAATAGATTTCCTTACCCATTTTCTTCCAGAATATGGCATGTACTTATTGATTATGTCAAAATCGAGCACATCAATTTATCCTTTTAGGTAATTATAGTTTAAGACTTGTCGAACATTATATATATTCTTAATAAAATCTTTATGGAATTTCTATATTCATAACTGAAAAATTGTGTTATAGTAAATATAATGTTTGAAATAACTAAACGTTAACTAATTGCATGTTTTACTGTTTGACTTTTATTCTTCAGTTTTTGAGTAATTTGAAAATCCATTATACTACTTTACAGTATCTCAATAGTTATTACATAGAAACGTTATCACAAGTTACACAAGTATTACAAGTCTTTCTTTTATATACGATTATTATATTTAATTTTATTGTCAATGTTTTATTCTTTCAAGGTTCGAATGTCTTGTTTGATAAGGACATTTTTTGATTTATCAACAGTTTATTATAGATATATATTGGTAATTGTTACTTTGTTATAAAGCACGTTTTCCTCATTCCGTATGGTGTTGTTTTCTATATTCTAACTTATGTAATGTTTTCCTTATTCGATAGTATATAAATACGAAGCTCCTTATTTTAGGATATAATTTTTCTGCTAAGCTTTGTTACAAATATACAAAATTCAAGATATTTTCACAGTAAAAATGATAAGAAAGCGCCACGTATATAAACACCAGTTAGATGATCAATAACAAGTACTTTTATCAACACAGCGATAAAATGAGTAAAATGCTTTTATAAGTTTAAAATTTTTTAAGCTTTCTGGTGAAAACCAAAGTGATGCATAATATTTTTATCATATTATGTAAATGTGTTATCCTTTTTTTTTTTCTTACATAAATATGCAAAATTTCTTCTGTTCAACCTTTTCAGGGTGGGAAAGTGGAGCGTTGCAGAGTTAGTCTCACAACCTTTGGCTCTCTATTCGGAGATTTTCTCAGATCCACTTGGTAGACTGCGTCATACTATATTTTCATGGCTCTAACAGTTGATTTAGTTGTTTGTCGATTGTTTCTAATTACGTGTTTTTTTACACACAACAAAAGGTAAAAAAGAGTGTGAAAATTATTTGCACCACTTACCAACCCACACGTTTTGCCTGTATACTATTCCTATAATGTATGGTTGAGTGATGAGGTTTTGCATCATTTATAAAGGAGATTTTGCTGAAACTTTCATATTACTGAAGGATTATTTTTGCGATTAGCTTAATGTTGTCACTTATTTTGATAATTCCCTTTCGTCAAACTTGTTTTCTGTCACGTTTTCTTAAACTTGTTTTTTTTCCGGTTCACTATGCATTATTCTTGCTCCGTTTGCGTTAAATGACACCATCAGGAGGATATTGGGACGTCCACAATCCACGAAAACAAGTCCGTAGCTTTCCTTAAGTATTAGTGCTGATTCCTTTGATGACTTTGCTTTTGCGGCTATGAAAATAAAATTTTCGAAATATATTTCAGGCTTGGCTCTTAGTGAAACATGTTTATTTTCGTAGATATCGTTTGGATTTTGTTTAATTTGTGGATTTTGTGTCACCATATTTGAGAATTTTTGGATGAATTGTTGAAACTACCTTTTTTAATAGCTTGTTCTATAAAAGCTTTCTACCGGAATTTGGTTCGTTGTTCCGCAAATGCCATCTTAGGACCTTTCGGTGCAGCATTCAACCCTTTATATCGTCCTACTCTAGAAAGCGGCCAAGAGCATCTAGGATACGTATACGACTAACCATTTCGATATAAGTTTTTCTAAACTAATAAAAGTAGTAATTTTAATTAAACGTATTTATTAAGGCTTACATGCTTATTAATATTGTTTAGAGAAGCTCATTTTGATAGTGGCAGAGAAAGAGAGAGAGAGACACACACATAACAAACGACTTTGGAACTTAATTTTTCGGAAAAATTCTGCGTGAAAACTTTCACAAGAAAACATATGAATATCTCAACACCTCAAAGTCCTTGACTTTCCTTATTATCATTTTTATCATCTTTGACTTTTCAAGAGAGGCGCATGATCATCATAAGGTCGTTAGTCCTAAGACAGGTTAGACACGTACCTCCACTCTTTTCTATCCTGAGTTAATCTTTGCATTTCCCTAGAACTATAACAGCCCATATCCATAACTATTTGCGAACAGTAATCTAATCTAGATCTACCTCTACCCCTCCTAACTCCCGTTCTGCCTCTAATATGTCTCTGATTAGACGTTCATGCCTGAGAAGGTGTCCTACCAGCCTTAAATAGAGTCCTCTGTTCTCCTATTATTTCTAATACCTCTTCATTTATAATCTTCTCTAGCCACAGTATCCTCATCATTCGCCTGTAACACCACATTTCGATCGCTTCTAATCATTTCTTTTCCGCCGCGACCATCGTCGATGTTTCGCATCCGTCAGGGCTACTCATATACAACATACACCTTTAAAAATCTTTTTCGAATTTCTAAATTAACCGTTTGCGAACATAGAAGTGACTTCTTTTTATTGAAGGCTACTCGACCCTGCGCTATTCTCTGCTTTATATCCCTACTTCTCCTTCCGTCCTGACTTCTCTGACTTCCTAGATACCCATAATTACTAAAACATGCCTAAGTAATTTTAATTAAAATTACCAGCCTATAACATTAATTCCAGACGTTTAGGTGGTCCTGATCGAAAGGCGCCGGCGTTAGGTGATTAGTACTCGATAACTGTTTATCCGACGTTTTTCCCAATAGCATTCTCAGGTAAAGTAGCGAATCATGTACTGATATTCTCAGTACGAAAGGAGTAGGACCAATCCTTGAACACGCCCTTCAAACGTCTATTCAGATTTTGGGAGTTTTTTTTGGAAATGGACGCGAGAGACAAATTGCAAACTAACTTGAAGCTTATTATTTCGGAAAAAAGCTTCAAAATAATAAGAATTTGAAGCACCAACCGTTAATGTAGATAGTACCTGACACAGATTTTCTCACACAAATGAGAGGAAACGCAGTTAATAAGTTTCCTTGTGTGAAGTCCTCGACTTTCTCTTAACTTTTTGCTCATCCATGACACACCCTGTAACACCTACGCAATTTTGTGTCAAATGGGTCTAAAAACAGCCACAAATGCTGTTTTATTACCATTTGTCATAAAGTGCTTTTACTCGCGACTATAAATGTGATAATCCTAAAATATTACCCCAAATGTACAGTACGTTTGTGAAATAATACGACAAAAAGTAATTGCTCCATCTTGCTGAGTGTCCTGGATGAGTTTTCTATTAAAAAGTTATGTGCTGGTGTAACAGTCGTTATATGCGAAATCCAGGGTAAGTTTACAGCAAATTGGTTATCTGGGGTAGTGTTAAGGGCGGTAGTAGCACGGCTATGACGCAATCGGCGCGAGAGCGCGAGATCTAAACAAACCGTTACCGCGGTAACGCTTTACTGCGTCAGAAATGACGTCAAGCCGTTGGGACGCCTCTCTCGAAGTTATATATCGACGGTTGCACTGTAGCGCGTCATTACTGTACAGCGCTAGGCGCGATCGCGAGTGCGGGTGAATTTTGTTATTACTTAGTAGTCTACAACTTTTGTATTTTTCTACTTTTATATCTGATAACATATATTGTATAGTTTGTTTATTTTTGTTACCTGCTAGAAACATATATTTTCTCATCGTATCAAACCTTTTCGGTAAGTTTTTATAACAATAATTTTCTATCTCTCACAAACTAATAGTTGACTATTGTCAATAATAATATCGGTCTCAATACTGGTACGTGATTTTATAACTGTTTTAATTTTCTATTTTAAAAATTAANCAAAGAATAAACGTTGTCACTGGGCCAAACGGTGGCATATTTGGCACCAAATAGAATCTCTCACCGGCAGCTAAACTGCGCTGCTGTCTCTCTAATAACACCTTGCCGCATCGAGAATTCGAACATTGCCCAATTGCACTAAATAACTAACATTTTTTTTTAACTTCATAAACAATATAAATATACTTTCTGTAATAAAAAGAACTCATTATAATCGAATAAAATAATTCGAAGTGGTCTGTATTCTGTCGAAACTGCCAGACGCGGATCGCGATTTCGATTTTTTTGGATTTCATCAGCGCGTCGCAGACAGGTCCGACAGAACACAGACCAACTTTAACCGTATTTTCTAAAACGCGCTTTTTTGAAATAAGACATTCGATCTAGATTTCTATCCTCCCTCGATTGCGTTTTAATGGTACCACGTGTCGAAATTGTATATCGTCGTCGGATAATCTTACAGAAATAATGTTTCAGGAGTGGACAAGTATTTTTACTCTATCTCTCACAAACTAATAGTTGACTATTGTCAATAATAATATCGGTCTCAATACTGGTACGTGATTTTATAACTGTTTTAATTTTCTATTTTAAAAATTAAGTGGACATTCATTTCAATGCTCTTACCATTAGTGTAAGTCAATTGAAATCAATTTAATTTTTCTGTATACCGAATTGTCAATTTCTGTTATGTAAAATATTCATATATGTAAGATGCAGAATTTTAGGTCTTCACTAATCGTTAAGAAAAGTCCTTCTGAAGGTTGCGTTGATATTCATGTGTAATGTACGTGTATATAACTTGATAACTCAATTTATTGTTGCAATATTTCTAAATATACTTCGAAATTTTCAACATCGTACCATCCAGGGATGGTTTACGACAATATTATTAGTAAGCAGTTTAATCTACACATACGTATGTACTATTATTTTAACGGAAAACACCTGAAAGGAAACGTAACGTTGGAGAATTTCCACTCGAAAACTAGGGATTTTCCATAATTACAATGACATTGTTTTTATTTATCGTATATATTATTCGGCTCATTGGATTAGAACACCTTTTTTATTACGATTGTTTAACAAAAATAAAAAGGAACCTTTCATCTCGCGTCAAAGTTTTCCCGATTGTAATCGTTCTATTTTATTTTTATGGCGTTTTCTTTAGTGCGTTTTTAATAGCCCATATCAGCGTTATCGTCCGTTTCAGTGTAGGGAATGTTTTATTGATTTTACAGTAACACATCGTATTCAGCTGCTGAAGAATTTACATTTTGTATTTAGGTAGTTACTTATTTAATTCGTATACAGGACAATTCACTGAAATCATCTTCTGTAATAGTACCTTTCCATCACTAGATCTTAATTTTTTCTTAAGAATGCAGACTAACTTTTAAAAAAAAAGTCCTTTAGTTGACTAGGGATATGTATATATTTGGATAAAAGTAAATGAAATTTTTAAATAAAATCTTTGACAACAATCACAACCAAATGTTTTGTAATTTTCTGTACTTTATTTCGTCGTTCCGGCGAATCATCTTGTAAATATGTGTGTGTATTTATGTAGTAACCTTAAGGAAACTGGCTCTTCCCGTGAAAAACTGGTGGAAATTTAGCGTGGGACGTATAATTTCGTGACAAGATCAATTTATCAACATAATTTCAGCCTCGAAATATTGTCAACTTGATTAAATAATAAGTGCTAATGAAAAGTTTTGCGTCGTATATTATTTTCCCAATGCTTTGTATTTAAGTAGGTGCTTCTGTAAAAGGGTTGTAGAAATCAACGGATTTGTTTGAAAAATCATCCCCTACTGTAACCTTTTTCAGATATATATGGACTTTAGATAGAACAAATGTAAAATACTCATAATAAATGGACTTATAAACTTTTTTATCTTAAATAAACCAAAAAGGTGCTCACCCTAATTACCGTAAAAGTACTTTACATTACTTTCCTACTTACTTTGTTTTATCTTGATTAGGTATACAGCTGGTAAATTTTATTAAGGTAATTAAAAACAATTTCATTTAAATTTGCTATGAGCAGCATTTAGTGTGTTGCTATCTATTTCTTGTTTAACAAATTTTATAATCTTTTTGCTCATTATTGTTCTATATCGTTTCTTACTTTTGTTTTTATTTGTCTACAATCTGAGCTTTTTTATTTTAATTAATTTCTTTGAAGGCTCGACTAATTCATTTTTTATTGTTTACAAATTAAACTTGTCGGTTTTTTAACGGTATTGCTGAACAACCTTGGTAAACAAAATTGCTAACAAGTGCAATGAATGTTGTAGCTTCGGGTGCATAATTTTTTGCTTATTTTAGGATAACCTCCAGTGATTCATAAAAATTATTTTTATCCGTTTCAATTAGCAAAAGAGTATTGTTGCAAGACAGCAAGAAGTGTGTAGGTGCATATATACGTATGATCCTTTTTTCTTACGTTATTACGCAAACAGGTCAACTTAAGATTTTTTGCGGTTTGCTAATCAGGTATTATTTCGATTGATACAGATTTGCTATTGGCAACCGTAGTAAATGGAGTACCAATGTCGAGATGTGGCTTTTTTACCCTGGATAGCTAGGCTGCAATTCATTATTGCTGTAAGATAACCTACATTTCTTAAAAATTGTTATACTTTCACATTGTATGTATCTATAGTATCTACATTTACTTTCTCATAATATAATAATAACTATTTTGCATTTGTAGAAGAAATAGATTTCATTGGCTCGTAATAACGTGGATATACTGCAAAACTTTTGCATGAATTTTGCTGGTACACTTTTACTTAGTTAGTCCAATCGATCTGGCATTGAATCTTTAAATTGTAACCCCTTATTTCGGACATAGGGCAATTATTACTAAAAAAAATTTATTTGAAATAATGCACGGTCTACAGTAATATTAAATTATCAGGTATGGCTAGCCGAACTAACAATGAAACTTTTCAGTATAGGGTATAGGGTAAGGTTCGACCAACGAAGTTTCACTACAATGGTTCGTTTTTAAGTTTTTGGAGTTAAATCTTCCATAAGCAAATGGCTAAACACGGGGTAGATTGTTGTAGGTTGTCTATCCGACCTTCTGACACACCTTTCTAGTTGAATGAAATTTTACGCGGGGATGATGCATTGTGTTATTAAGTGGTTAAATTTACCACCTAGTGGTTATTCAGTTGTATTTAATTAAATCGAAATTAGTAAACAAGTAGAGAACCCGCACAATTTGCCTGTTTTATTTAATTTAATTAAAATGTGAATTAAATAGAAACAATTTCTTCGAATTTTCCATTAGTTAATTCAATACCTACGTTCTGTTTGAGGTTTCGTGATTGTAATGTCTAAACATACAAATTTATTCAACAGATTACATTGCATGGTCTTATCAGTTCTTATCGACCACCGAAACTGACATAGTTAATTGTAATTTAGGCCACGTTCGTGCATGCCATTATATGCGTTCTTGCAGTAAATGCTTGGGTCACGGAAAACGTGACCTTTATAAAACTTTAATGTTCTTCCTAAGACGGTTCTTTTGTGGTAGTAAAATGTTTTCAAAATTTCCCCATTCTTACTTCATTAGACACCTAGATGGAAGCAGATTAAAAAAAATACACAATTTCTATCACACAGTAGGTATAGACTATATAATCTAAACTAAAAATATACCTCAAAAATCTACTAATTACATTTTAAACCACAAGATAATTAGAAATATTGTCGAATATCCGGAAAACGTTGTTAGTGTATTCGTACATTTAACCTAGAATTTGCCATACATACAGAGTGTTCCGTAAATAGTGAAAATAACTATATACAGTTAACAATAAAGAACTCAAAAAATTTGGCCTAATTGAACGGCCTACAGTTTTCGAGTCCAAAATATATCTTGATATTTTTGGATAACATTTTTTCTACTTTCAAGCTATCATAAATTTAATGACAAGCAAACCGCATATTGGCATTATTTTAAAATTAGATTTTTAGATTGAAAAAAAGTATGCCTACATGTCATTAAAAAACCAAAAATTATTAAAGACGTTATAGGGGTGCCAATTCAAAAAGGGCGGATAACTCAAAACTGTAGATATAATGGTCTTCAGCCTTCCTTTCCTAGTTTAAAATTGCCCACTAAATCTACAGGACAGGACACCACGTATATCGCTTTGATTTTCTCGGATTTGATTTGGATTAGCAGAATTAAGCATTTTGTTTTTCACGACGCAAACAACATAAAAGAGCTTACAACACGATGTTAAAATGCCGTATACAGTTTACAAATTCGTAAATTTTAAGTCGAACTTTATTCTATACCTGCTATAATTCGTTCCGATGTTGTAAATACAATAGCACATTTTCCTTTTATTGATTTTTTTGTTCGGCTAACATAAAAAATAAACGCAAATATTATGCAAATTTCGTCATAATTTTCGCTCATATAATTACGAAATGATGTCCATTATGTATGAGTGTGTATATTAATAATTTACTATATACGTACGTAAACATAATACAATTCTGTTAACTGTTTTATGACAGTAACCTCCGACGGACGGCCTAAACAATCAGTATAATGCTGATTTGCTTTTTTCTTCTTTATAAATGTCCTTCGCTGTTATAAATATTTTAAACGAGACAAATGCATTTTAACAGCCTTGTAGTTTTAGTTGTTCGTTCGTACGTGGTAAACCGAATGCGGTTTCCTGACTTTTTTCTTTTGTTTAAATAGAACTTTTATTAGTGGGAATTTACCTCGTTAATAATTATCAATTTGCACTGGTCCGTTCGTGGAAGAGCTAGTAAGCGCGGGGTTATACGTTTTGTTAGTTTTGTAAATTACATTGAAACACACTTTTAAAG